TTATAGGTAAAGTGATGGTCTGAGCCACTCATTATTACACACAGATTAGAGAATCTAACTCACTATGTCAGGGGCGGCCAACTCCCAAGAGACTGTGATCTACTCACAGAGTTAAAAACTGGCAGTGATCTACCCCCTTTTTGGGGGTTCAGGTCAAAGTTGTTCAGCTTTTTTTAGGGGAACAAAAGTTGTTGAGCTTCTTTGGACTACTGCAATCTAATTTGTCCACAATAAGTAGTGGCCATTAACTGGTACCATAAAATGTATCAAAGCTTATTAAAAGCATCAACACAACAAATCAGTAATACAAGCACAGTTTCTCTCTCTTTAAGAGTAAAAATGGAGTAAAAATGTTTTGTGAGCACCCAAAACTACCCTTTCAAGAAAATAATAAAGAACAAAATTTATTCAACACCCAATTGATTCCACGCAGATGTTGAAATTTCTCAAAATATTAGCTACGTAAGCACTTTAGAGTTTTCCTGAGGGACTCTCCTAGAATTCAATGGGGAGGAGGAGTTTGACTACCAGGCATCAGAAACAAAGCATGCTTGTGAAAGAGATACACTTTTGGGACATTTTATAAAGAGCTCAATTTTAGTTTTGGTTTGGCATGATAAAGATACAATAGTAAAATAAACACTATAAACATTTCCCAAGGAGTAATTGTTTTGCACTGTGTTGTAGATTGCAACATAGATATTAAAGAGTCTTATAGCTCCTTAAAGACTAACAAGAATCTTTGTTGTAAGTACGATGGTTTTCTGACTATGGAGTCACAAAGAAGTTTTAAAATACTACTTGGCCACAAAGAAGTTTTATGTACAGTACTCATTTCCTTATGTTGCATTGCTCCCTACCCCCATTTTGTTTAGTCTAGGTTTTTTTCTCTCTCTATCTAATCAGCTTGTATTTTTCCACTGCATTGACAAGTATAAAGAAGTAAACAGCAAATGAGCCATGGGCATATATATATTTACCAGTAAATCTCAGGGGGTGGGAGAAAATCCGTACATAATTTTGCAATGCTAGCTACTGGGAGCCATAAAGGCCATTATGCCCCTCCTGTTGTTGGCATAAGTCAGCATCTCTGTTATTACCAGTGTCAAAACAAAATCATATTAAAGCAGATACTTAAATAGTTCAGCTGTGCTCAAAATAACAGCAACTTTACAAAAATTATAAGCAACCGTCTACTCACAGTACTTAAGAAATGAGTATATGTAAGGAGTAAATACTGGTTTTTATGGATATATCTTCAAACTAAAGGCATGACATCTCTAAACAGCAGAAGGCTAGTGAGTTATTTTACTGCTGTGCTCATGCCCTGTGCATATAACAACAGAATTGTTTCCAGGGAAATTTAAGTTATGAGGATCTAGGCTGCCATCCCTAAACAGCTCTCCTGGAAGTTTCAGAGGTAAACCATATTACCTCAAGTCTAAATCTGCCTGCCCAGCCTATGAGCTTCACTATGTTATTTCAGAGGCTGACCTATATACAGCAGCATGCCATCCATTCTCTCTGTTTGTACAAGAGATACCTCACACAGTTGCCATAACCAACATTGCTTGCATTGTTCTTTCACTTTTCTCCCTCTGAGGTTTTGATGGGAAAGAAACATGATCCAATACAATACGTACAAAGCACACTATGCAGAAAGGCAAAACATGGCAATGGCCAACTAAAATGTTTCGGGACATTATTTTTAAGTTTATAAAGACCTCAGTCATCTTTTGAAACAAAGACAGCCAACAGAAAAATCAGCAGAGCAGAAAGATCTATACTATTGTATGTTATTTAAAACATGGCCAAGGGTGATTCATTTTAACTTGCGCCACAAACGTATGTAGATACAGCCAACTCTTATACTACACATGAACTATGACATTGTATGTCAGAAGACCTGCACCCGAGGATCACTGATTGATTTCCAATCATTTCAAACAAGTTTAAGACTGTGATCCACTCTACTGGCTTAAAAGGGATCACTCTGAAGTAAATGCAGCTTATAGTACAGTTTATACAAAGCAAACAAGTTTGCCCTGCAATGTCTAATCAGCTTGAAAGTTCAGAGGAAACGGTGAACACAGGCATGTCTGCTATTAGTGTTTTAGGTTATAGGGCTTCCCATTGCATCTGTACTCATAAAATCTGCTAAAGATGATGCAGCATTTAGGGGGGAAATTATCCAACAGCTGTTCATAAAAATGTTCTTTGTACCCAAGAACAACAGCACACATAAAGTTAAGGCTTTATAACAACGTTAATCAGCCTGGATAGATAGGGCTGAGGGACTGGAGGAAAATGAGATGTTCAGTCAACACATGCCTCATAGGGGCCCAGCCAGCAAAGCTACTCTAAGTCCATTTTCTATAATCAATGGTCATTGGCAGGGCTGTTTGACAGAGATATACATTGCTTGAAGAATGTTGTTTTACAAGAAACATTCCTGGTATGTCATTCCTAAGCTTAGAAAAAGAAAAAGAAAAGAAAGAAAGAAAGAAAGAAAGAAAGAAAGAAAGAAGAACAGAGCAAGTCTTACAACTGAGCATTTCTGAAATCCATTATCAGTCCTGACTAAGTTAAATAGAGTGCCTCGTTTTCACAGTCAAAAGAAGTTTGCTTCTTTATGCTTGGACTTAACCAGGGGTTTTTTTTTGGGGGGGGGTGGCAAATAAAAAACTGACTAGGAACATAGGGCAAACAGAGAAGGGGGGAAGCTTTCTAAATTAATTTATTCAATCAAAAATGATAGCCACCCAAAATGATTTAAAGCACTTAATTGGAAAATGATTTAATATATTAACGTAATTCCTGATTTTCCAAAGCATTTAACTTTTAAATTAAATCTGGCTCACCATCTTGAGTATGATGAGCGAAATGTGTATTCAAGTCATTACCTTCTTTTTGAAGCTTTAAATCACTGATAGATTTAATAACCGTTCGTCCAGTTTTCATTGCCAAATGGCTCTTCAGGCACTTTGGCGCTTATGTCATTAATTCTACCCAATGCTTCTTTACTTTTCAGCATGGCAGGCTTACAATTCACAATAAAAGATAATCAAGATTATATTTTATAGTGGCAAGTCACAGAGTGAAAGTAGTTCTATAATCATCATTGCTCAATACTTAAGAAGCCTCAGCACATGAACAGCCTGGCACATATACAGGGTTCATTCCTGCTATCCAAACTTCAATCTTTTCTTTCTTTCTTTATAAAAGAGGTAACTTTTTCAAAGGAAGGGTTTTACTTGATTGTAAAAATTAAAAGCCCAAGTGCTGCAGCCCAGATGATCACTGTACACAAATCAATCTAATGAATTTCTGCCATCAAGCTCCAAGTTTAAGATGTTAGGACACTCTTAAGTCTTGTCCTCATCAGGGTTCCTCAAATAATGAATGACAGATGATATCATGCAGGAAATATTTCCTGAAAAGTGAATGGGTCTTTATCACAGTGCAACAGTTTGTGTTCTTAAAACAAGCAGCAAAACAGAAGTCTGTATTTACAGCACTATGTCTAGGTGCAATTTGCCTTAGACAAACACTTGAAATAGCTCCTAAACACAAACACACCGGTGACAACAGACAAAACCCCAGGGCTTATGCCCACACTCCACTTTCGAACATAAAGTGAACACACTCCCCTTTTGTAAAAGGGCATCTTTAATGCCTTCTCTGTTGCAAATCAAACCAAGCACAGAATCACCAACAAGCAAGGAATAGCCAGGTGCTGATTAGTCAGATGTGGAGTTTATATGGCACATACACAAAAAGATCTGGTGCTGCCTGCAAAAGCTCCAGCCTTCCAGCCTATGCGCTTAAACAAAAGCTTAACAGGCACCCAGGTTTAAACAAATCTTACTACCAATGCTTGCTCGCAGTTCTGTTCCTCTCCCCTCCTGGGGGAGTGTTTTGGAAAGCTTGCACTTCCTGATTATTTCCTATGGCCAGCACTGCCCATTCTACAACAGAGGAGGGTGGAGGGAGATGCACATCATGCATAGTAGTATTAGCAGCTGGCCGAAGCCAGGGAGAAAAAAGAATGTGGAAAATAAGGAATCAGTGGCCCTGAAGTTCTGGGGCCGAAGCCTTAAGCGTTAAAGATTGTAGCACAAAACCAGACGTGAGAAAACGACGACCCGGACTGCAACCCTATGCACACATACTTGGAATAAGTCCCGCGAAACTCTTGAGCAGTACACTCCACTCTCTTTCTGCCCTGCCCAGGGCTTTGCAAATTTCGCCTCGTCTTTCCTACTTAGGAGAAAACTTGTTCTGATGGCGCTGAATCAAGTTACAAAGGGAATGGATGCAGTTTGATTCTGGGCTTCCTTCTAGTCGATACAAAATTTGCCACGCTTCTGCAATTTGGAAACCCCCCACAGTCCCCCACCCACCCCAACCCTGTCCAGCCTGCGATCTGACCACGCTTTGTTCTTCGAGTCTCCCTCCCCTAAAGTAACACCCAAAACAGGGGTGAATTTAAATCTCCCGCATGAGCATCCCAAGCGTGGAGAGAGAGGGGGGGCACTTGAAAAAAGACTTTGCGCTTAGACAGGGCTGCAGTCCCGGGAGCATTGCCCTACGTTGGATTCTCCATAAATTGCCATGGGACTTACTCACGAGTAAGGGCTGCGAGCCCGAGGCGGCTTTCTCTCTCCCCCTCCCTCCCTCCCTCCCTCCGCCCCTCGGCCAATTCATGGATTTGCATTTTGAAGGCGCCCAGGCCACCCCACACAACAGGCCGAGAGGGGCTTCGCAAAAGCGCCCAGTTGCCTCCCCCGCCGTCGCGCACAACACAAACACTGCACAACGGCAAGGCAAGCAGAAGCAGACACACACACACACACACACACACGGCGCTGGTGGTGCCTTTGGCTCCAGCCTGCAACCTGCCCCGCTCCAAGTCTCGCTCAAGCTGCCCAGCCATCTGCCAACCAAGCCAAACTCCCTTCGAGGAAAGAGAGAGGGTGGGGTGGGGGTAGCCGAATCACCTTGTTGCAGTAGTAGGGGTCCAGGCAAGGAGAAGGTCCCAGGCAAGGGGTCTCCGGAGCGGCGGCGGACTGCGAGGGTGGCGGCGGCTGCTGAGGCGGCGGCGAGTAAAACCGTACGTCCATCGCACTAAAACATCAAGCAAACTCCTGGTCTTCCCGCTTCGTGTCGGCGTTCAGGCAAAACAAAACAAAACGAGAGAGAGAGAGAAATCGGGGGGCGGGGAAACCCCTGAAAACTGAGGTGCCTGAGGAGAAGCAGGAGGGGGGTGGGAAAGAAACACCTTCCCCGCCTCACATCCGTTTGCGGCTCGTAAAAGAGAAGAAGGGCTGGTGGGAGGGAAGAGAAACTCTTCCCAAAAGCACCGGTCTTGCCGGGCGCGGCGACGGCTACCTGAGGCAAAAGCCGCCTCCTCTCTCTCTCTCACGGCCGGGCAGGTAACTTCGAGGAGTTCCGTTGTCCCCACACGCGCCGCTCGCCGAAGCAGCCCAGGACCGCGCTGCGCCTGAGGAGAGTTGGCGCCCTCGCCTCTCCCTGCCCAGCCCGCGCCCTCTCGCTCGCTCTCTCCGCTCTCTTTTCAGCGGCTTTATTTCGGAGGTCTTTATTTCCCCGCCTCGAGAGGAGTCAAGGAAGAGAGCCGGGGGTGGGGGGAGCACCAGCCCCCGCTAGCTACCGTCGAGCCGCTGGGTTTCGGACTGAGGCGGACCCCCGGCTCCGGCAGGGCTGCCCCGCGTCGCTGGCGGCAGGGCGGAGAGGAGGCAGCCGGCGTGCGCCTCGGCCGCTTCGCTGCGAGTGTGCTCCACACAAAGGAGCTCGCGAATCCAGAGCCATTTGCTGCTTTCGCCGCGGAGCGCGCGCGGAGCGCAGACAGGGGGCGCTGTGGCGCCCGCCAGCCGGGCCTCCCTTGCCAACTCTCCTCCTGCACTCCTGCCCTTACCCGGGCTAGTTACTATGGCATCTCCGCGCTTCTGTAGGAAGGAGGAAGGGGAAACGAGGCAAAAGGGGGGGGGGAGAGACAGGAGACGATTAAAAGAAGAGAGAAAATGTGGGTGGGTGGGTGCCAGGACTTTAAGATAGTTTGAGCAAGGCCGAGCCCCCATTTCCTGCCTGTCCCCAGTAGTTTAGCTTTGCTCTTGGACCCTTTGAAGCAATGTGGAAGAGAGGGGGGAGCCTCTGAGCATGTGCAGAGTTGAACTTCTTCAAGGCAGCTCCAGCCTGCAGCGTAGAAGTGTAGAATGGCAGAGCTGAAAGGGACCTCGAGGACCAGTGAGTCCAAGCCCCTGCAATACAGGAATATGCAGCTGTCACATACAGGGAGCGAACTCGAAACCTTGGCATTATCAGCACCATGCTTGGACCAACGGATCTAGCTGGGCTTGCAGTCAGCTGCAGGTTCAGGGCCATGCCTCGCCAGGGAGCTGGTGATGTGAAACTGTCTGAGATCCTGAACAGGTCGTGGTGAGTGCAAGGTAGAAATGGACTAGGTGGTCCGGTGGTCTGGCATTTTATAAGGAAGCTTCCTATGTCCAGAATGCAAGATTGATGCTTTAAGGCATTTTGCACAAAAAGCTGCCTTATGTCGAGGAAGACCATTCATTAGTCCATCTTTCTCAATATTGTCAACACTGACCTGCACTGGCTGTCCTGGGTTTCATGCAGGGAGTGTCTTCCAGCTCTACCTGGAGATACTGGTATTGAAGGCGAGAGCTTTTACATGCAAAGCAGACGCTATACCACTGAAATGAGCCATTTTGAAATTAATAGCCAAGATGAGGATTGAGAAAAAGCAATTCAAAGCTTCGCTGGCATGGCCTACTGCACACCACAAAGAGATTTTGAATGCTCACAGAGCAGTAAGACAATACAGGGAACTTCCCCATGCACTTGGGAACTCCTAAGGCATGTGACATCTTTCCCTCAGCCATATGGGTCTCAGTTGTCCAGCACATAAAATGGGAATAATGACTTCAGCCACCTGGATGCAGTGGTAGTGGCAGGACTGGAGAATGTACAATTTTAGATGACGTATACATCTTGCAAACATAGCCTTTTTGTTATGATTATTTAGGACAATGAAACTGGAAAGTGGCATAAGAAAGTAAAGCAAAGCTTTGAAAAGTAGTGTGCATGTGGGGTGGGGACAACAGCCGAGGCCAAAAAATGAAGAAAACACAAAACATTATTTTTACTATTGAATTAATTGCATTTGTATCCCACCTTTTTCTCTAGGGTGCTCAAGGTGGTGTTTATGGTTCTACCCCTCATTTAATCCCCTCAGCAAACCTGTTCTAGTTTTGTTGTCATGCAAATTTGGCCAGTTAGGTTTGTTTAATTCAAGAATTGGTACAAGTATATGGTTCAGGTGTAGTCAAAATTTATAAAAGTAATTTATAAAAGTAATTAAATTCATTTAACACAAAAGACAACTGAATGTGCATTAATTCATGGGATTTGATAATAATCATTTAGCTTAACTGATCTATAAAAGCTTTTATTTTAGTATATATAGTGAAACTATTTTTTTTCCATTTTCCTGCCTTTACAAATTATAATTTTAGTGCTCTAGATACATAAATAAGTACAGCAAATAAGTATCACAAAGGATGGTCCTGGTCCTATAATTTTGGAAATCAGGTAGAAAAATCCCTACATGTAGAAAATTTGTCAGCCTTTGTCAAGCTGATTGTAAGGCTGAATTCCTTGCAAGCTTGGGCAAAACCGTTGATGAGTCTCTGCCCCTATAATCATACGTACAAAAACCACATGTTCACAGTGGCAGATTTACATGTATGCATAGTGTGTTTGGGATTAGAGCCCTGTACAGCAGAGCCTGTAGGGACGCAGGTGGCGCTGTGGGTAAAACCTCAGCGCCTAGGAGTTGCCGATCGCATGGTTGGCGGTTTGAATCCCCGCGGCGGGGTGAGCTCCCATCGGTCGGTCCCAGCTCCTGCCCACCTAGCAGTTCGAAAGCACCCCTAAGTGCAAGTAGATAAATAGGTACCGCTTTCTAGCGGGAAGGTAAACGGCGTTTCCGTGTGCTGCTACTACTCCTACTCCTAGTTATCAGGATACAGTATGTGGTTAACTGAGAGGATGCTTCTGAAACACAGTTACAATGAATCACCATTGTTAAATTCTAGTATTTTAGTTTGTTGCATTGTTTCCACTCTTCATTTATGCTGCTTTTTGATTAAAGTCAGTAGAGTCTGGTCTGTTAGGGTAACTAAGGCCCAGCCCTGCCCAGTAAAATGTCAAGCATTTTTAATGTTTTTCTCCAGAATCGCAAAGGCTCTTTTCTGTCCCACACATCCTTCCACAATCCATCTGAATACAAAGAGACTTGGGGAGACATTTCTGTCAATCTCCCATTCCGTTTGCCTCAATCCTTAGCATTGTGTACAACTCTGTCAAGGTAGTTTCCTGAACCCAGATGTATTTACATGGACGTAAATCCCATTGATTTAAATGGAAATTGAGTTACTTCCAAGTAAGTGTGCTTAAGTTTGAGGCCTAAGCTGGCTTTGCTCCAAATGCTTTCTTTAAAACAGCAGAAGCTGTGGCATTTCAGAATGTTTAACTCTCTTCTGCACATACCATATCTTCTTAATCAAACAACCCACCCATTTTGAATCACCTTTGAGATAAAGTCTGGCTCCATACTGTTCTCTTTGCACATGCTGTCTCTCTTGAAATAGAAAGCTCAAGGTCAAGTTGTCAAGCACAGATAGAGGTGGTTAAATTGAAAATGAAATCAGGAAACCCTAAATGAACTTAGCAGGTTTTCTTACTGACAACCCACCAAGATGATTACTGTTTGTCACTAGTAGCTGCAGAATAAAAAAAAGCGAAGGATTTGAAATTAAGCAGGTAGCTTGTTGAGCTTTGAAACCATAAGCAGTAAAACAGTTAACAAAACTGAACAACACACGGGAAAGCAAAAAGCTCGTAGCTTATAGGAGGGAGACAGACAATAAATTAACTAACAGTGAATCAACACTTCTTTTTTTCTTCAACATTTCAATTCCAGTTGGCTTTCCTATAAACTCAAATGAGATATGTAGATCAAGCAGACAGTACCTTCAGCTAGTGGGGATTCTACAAGCCCTGCTTATGCTGCCAGGCTACTACCACCACACCTTCCCTAAGTCCCACCCACCCAAAGTCTCTTCTACATACTACACCAATGGAAGCAGCTCCTATCAGTACAGGTAGCTGAATAACATCTTCATGTCAGAGGCAGCATCTCTCTAAATGCCAAGCTCTGGAGGCCAACAACAGGGCAACAAAGTTCTGGTCTAGATGGAGACAAGTGACTTGCTTAAGACCGCAAACTGAGCACAAAGCGAAAGTACATAACCAAGCTCCAAACTTTAAACCCCACATATCATTACCCCTTCCAGAAATGACTTTCCCCAGTTTCCCCCTAAAATCTTTATTTTATTCAACTTAAATACTGCTCTTTATATACAAAATGGAAAAATGCCCACTGAACAGATAAAAATAAAGCATGACAGTATATCCAATATACAGAAGACGAATGCTATAAAACAACATAATCCAGAAGCAGCAGAATCTCCAGTGCAATATAAATTCACTGAATTGCCCACTAGGACCTGTGGGAATTGGTTTCCCATTTACCCCTGTGGCCCTCCTAAAAAAGAAAATTCCATCTTTTCTTGCTTAGCCTTATAATGTATGCAAAAGAGAACAAGAAAGTGCAAGAAAACTGCAAGCCGAACAAGCATGTGGGAGTTAGGAGGATCCTTTCCCTTAAACAGCTGACTTGTTACACACAATGCACACCCACATTATCTCATTAAGTATCTGGATTGGTTTGCATCTCCTAATCCATAATGAAAGATGTATGCTACTAGTTCAAAGGGTCTGGGTGAATTATTTTGGGAGTTTATATGCCACTCTATATTTCAAAGAAGTCTCTGAACAATCTACAAAATCATCACAAATAAATACAAAAAATATAAAATCCACATTTTAAAGTGTAACAATTAGATAATATAGATAACCTTTAAAGTTCCATATGGCCTAGGACCCTCGTACCTATGGGACCGCCTCTCTTGGTATGCCCCACGGAGGACCTTGAGTTCTGCAAATAACAACATCCTAAAGATTCCGGGCCCCAGGGAGATCAGACTTGCCTCGACCAGAGCCAGGGTCTCTCACAAGAGACTAGGGCCCTGCGGGATTTGACATCTTTCTGCAGGGCCTGCAAGACAGAGCAGTTCCGCCAGGCCTTTGGTCAGGTTTCAGTCTGACTCATTTTCTCCTTGTATAAGAACAAGCACGAAGGAGGTTCCCAGCCCGCTCACAGGTGCTTATAATATCAGTGGAAACAGTTGGTAACCGCCTTCAATTTTAACCTGAAGATGGCCACTTGTCCAGTTTTAATTTTAATTTGTTTGAATTAATTGTGGGATGTATCTTAATTTATTGATCACTTGTTTTTATGCATTGTCTTACTTGTATGATGTTAGCTGCTCTGAGCCTGGCTTTGGCCGGGGAGGGCAGGATATTAATAAAATTTATCATTTATCAATTATTATTATTATTATTATTATTATTATTATTATTATTATTATTATTATACCAGAATAGAATAGAGATAAACTAAAACAGCCAATCTAGCAGATCCAAAATACAGAAATACAACAGAGGCAACCAACCCAACCTACCAAGTATACAATCATGTATTTATCAGTGTCCTTTAAGGCAAATGGAGCAATGCCCTCACCAACTTCAGTCTGCCCTGTGCCAGCCCCCACTTGCCTGCTTTTCTACTTACAACCAGTTCCGGGGGTGTCCCTGTCTGTCAGTTTCCTCCTTAGTCTGTTTTGTTCTT